TTTTACGGGTCGCGGTTAACCGCGGCCCGTGGGGGTGCAACCCGCGAAACCCGAGGGTTACACCTCCTTGGCCCGTGAACCGCCCGCACGGGTCACGGGTCGGCCCGCGGTCCAGGTTTTCACGGGCCGATTTTCACGGGTCATGGCCAGCCCGTCCGTCTTGACACCTCTACCCACCAGGCCCCCCCTTGGCTCCGCCCCAGTAATAACATGTAGCGGACAACAATGTTGGTAAGGTGAGAAGTTCCTCTCAACTTTGTCTCTTCCAAGGCATATACATAGATTGATGTTTGTATATATATACACAGAGAATCTGAGAAAGTTTATAAGAGATATATAGAAATTATATCAATGGCGGGATTATTCGACAAGCAGGCGGCGATATACTTGGATGCAAGGCCTACTTATCCAAAAGAGTGGTATTCCATGCTGGCGGAGCGAACCTCAAATCACTCTCTTGCTTGGGACGTCGGCACCGGCAACGGCCAAGCAGCTATAGGTGTAAGTATATATTATCCTAGGTGTATTTTATTTTTTAAAACTACATGGAAAATTTTAGAGCTAATCACCAGTTCAAAATTTCAACCATTGCCTGATTTCTTCAATATTTTACAATTTACATGGTAATGGTTACCTATTAAATGACATTTCATATGCATTAAATGGTCACATGAAAATGAATATTTAACGTTTCTCATCAGCAATGAAGAGATTTGATTATAATTTGTAATAGAATAATGTTATCTCATATCAGTTGTGCTGAAATCTATATGACATTATATGATGAGTTTGATTAAATATGTGAAATTATGTTATTCACTTAATTGAATCTGCAATTTAATGTTGTTAGTGCTGTCATCTAGACTGGTGTTCAATGATGCTAAATAGTACTACTTATTGTAATCAAAATTTCAAATAACTTTTTATTTAAATTTTTTTTTATATATAATGCAAAGTTACCATTTTACCCCTAATCAAAATGGTAAAAAGAAGTTGAATGACCATGATGAAATATTATATGAAATTGGATGGCCATAGTGAAACGTTATATGAAATTGGATGGCTTTGATGAAATAAAATCAAATTAGGTGTCATGGTGACACTAAATATAAAGTTGAGTGGCCATGGTGAAACAAAATCAAGTTAAGTGGCCATGTGGACACAAAGTTTAAAGTTGGGTGGCCACTAGTGTATTTAAACCTATTTAAATTATATCTTCAACTCTTTTCTATCAAACGTATGGTATATACACAATTAGCACAAATAGATTATGACTTGAAATACATTTGTTTCCATTGATATTATGGCATTATATATATTGGGATACAAACACCCCTCTTGTTTCTAAATACTGCCATCTCTCTCGGATGGAACTTGTACTAGGTTGCTGAACATTACGAGCAGGTGATCGGAACAGATGTTAGTGAAGGGCAGCTGAAGTACGCAATGCCACATCCCAAAGTTAGCTACGTCCACACGCCACTCTCCATGTCCGATGATGAACTAGTTACCTTAATAGGTGGTGAAGGTACTGTTGATTTGATAACTGTAGCAGAAGCAGTTCACTGGTTCGACCTTCCAAGATTCTACTCCGTTGTCACTCGCCTTCTTAGAAAGCCAGGAGGCGTAATCGCTCTCTGGGGCTATAAAGGCATTAATAAGATTAGTCCTGCCTTTGATGCAGCTATACAACATTGGTTTCAGACAGTACTTCCTCATTGGAATTCGAAGGCTGACATTGTGGACGATGCATACAAGACACTTCCATTTCCCTTTGAGAGTGTAGGATTGGGTTCTGAAGGGAATCCACTCTTTCTTGATATCCCAAAGGAAGTTTCATTCGAGGGGTATTTGGGATTCCTTAAATCATGGTCTGCAGTTGCTACAGCAAAGGAACAAGGCGTGGATTTGTTGCCTGCAGGGGTTGTTAAAGAGTTGGAGACTGCTTGGGGAGGTGCTAATCTAGTTAGAACTATTGTGTACAAGGCATTTATGCTTTCTGGAAAAGTAAAGCTTTAATATAAGATTGGAGGGGTCAAGTATATGGCCTTATCTGTGTGGTGCCTTCTCATTCTATCTCTTGTAAGTTGATACGAGTTTGCTGTGTCATGAGGTGGTTCTTCATCACCACCCATTTCAGTGTCAGGGAGCAACGCTGTATCATTTCCAAATTCACCTCCATCTCAAGTTTCGGATTATCATTAAAGTTTATACCTTCATATCTAACCGAGTTGAAATTCTAAATGGTCATTGAGCTTTGCACAGTATTTTTTTATTGATCATTAAAATTTTAAAAGTTTTTCGATGATCACCAAACTTATCAAACCGTTTTATCACATTGGCCATTAAACTCTAGAACTTTTTTGATGATCACCGACTTATCAAATTGTTATCTCATCCATCACTCAATAACTCCCTGATTTGACAAGTAATGGCTATTGGAATAACAATTTGATAAGTTCGGCGACCTTTCAACATACTTTCAAAGTTTAATGGTCAATATGATTACGATTTAGAGGGTGTTTGGTGGGAATTAAAATTAGATTTTTAGTGGATTATGATAGAAATTTTTGAAATGTACAGCCCAACCCATCCCCCCTTGTATCCGCCCCTGTTTGGTGGTCATCCATATTTTTTTAAAGTTTAATAACCAATGAGATAACGATATGATAAATTTGGTGATCTAATGGTCAATGAAAAATATTGTACAAAATTCAATTAACATTTGGATTTTTAACTTCCTATTTAACACAAGGCATAGCATGGTCATTAAAAATTACATTTTTAATATAATTATTTTAGAAAAATGCTTTGAGTACAGGATAAAATTCACATATTTCTCACAGGAATTCAAAGTTTTTCTCACATGGGGTGGGCCTATGTGATTAAAAAATTGCCATGAATATCACAAAAGAACACAAATAACAAAGTAAATAAGATTAAGAAAGTCGATCTGGATCAATTTTATCATTAAAAAACAAGTTGTTATAAAATAATTTAATCATATTATTATATTTGCAGTCAAAACAAATATAAATGAATAGAGTTCGAGTTCAAATTGAATTGTACCCACGTATTGTTTGGAAAAGAATTGAACCATCCTACCAGAGATGAAGATAGGGGAGGGGCGACCCTCCAACATTGTCCGCTAGTCCACTATTTCTAGTTAATTTGTAATTTATTTTTCAATTTCGCCGCCCCAAAAAATTTGACTCGTCCCCGCAAAATTTACAATTTTTTTATGGGAAAAGTTTATGGCTCAAGTGTTTAGTTTGCAATTTTAAAAAATCAGGTGTTAAACTTTAAAATTGTAAAAATCAGGTTTATACTTTTTATTAATTAATTAAATATTTAATTGTGTAATTTGATAGCGTATATCTTATTAATTAGTTAAAAATTAATTTCAGGTCACAGCTTATCAAATTAATTTGTCTCGGATTATTTCGAGATCACAGATGAAAAACTTTATAGGTCACAGTTAACTTCGTTGGTCACAAATCAAGAATTTTAAGGTCACGGGTAATTTTTTATAGGTCACAGATTTAAAAAAATTCAAAACTNTTTATAGGTCACAGAATTAAAAAAATTCAAAACTTTTATGGGTCATAGCTCTATTTCAGCGAGTCACAGTTCCAATTTTTAGGTCACGGACACCCACACAGGTTACAGATTGAAAAAAAAAATCAAAACATTTACTTTTCGCAACTCTATTTCAGTGAGTCACAATTACAATTTCTAGGTCACAGACACCGCAAAACAAAGATCCCAAATTTGACCAATCACTGTCACCACCAAAATCTGCACAATCACCACGAGAAGCAGATCCAGAGGCAACAAAAAGGTAGGGTTGGCTCAAACATATATGTCTCACTATAGATATAATTTTTCTGGATTCTGTTCTTTTTGTTCCTGAGGCAAACCTAAGGTTGGGTGAAGNTTCCTGAGGCATACCTAAGGTTGGGTGAATGCACACGTGAATTTAATTTAATTTTCACAAGAAGATTTAGGTACTGATACTTGTTATAACATAGTTTTGGCTGAGCAGTGTATTTTTTGCACCCTGACCTCTTCCAATGATTTCATTTAGCTTTTGAGCTTCCCCATGATCACGATGTTTGATTGCTCTTAGACCTGTAATTGATTTAGCTCGATTCCTTGCACCGGCAGTCCGCAACGCTGCTGTGGATTGGGGGGAGGGGAGGCGACGGGAATGTGGGGATAAATTAGGTTAAGAATTAGGTTTTAATATACTCCCTGATTTTTACAAAAATAAACTTAAAACCTGACTTTTAAAAATGACAAACTAAACCCCTGATTTTATATAATTTTCCCATTTTTTTTACATTAATAAATATTGACCTAATAACTTACAGCCCATGCTCGCTCAAGCCCAGATCCAGTTAGTAAGTAGATTCTTTTCTACTTGAGGAATTGCAGTATAACTGTACAAATTCATTTCATATTAACATTTTTGAAAGCAATAAAGAAATTAGTCCATATTAACTGTCCATCTAACGTTCATGTTTTCAATTTGTATAGTATTAGACACATAGATGTGCATATTATTTTTGTATCGACAAACTGATTGTCTTTTTGGTCAGTCAATTTAACTTATCTATTTTGGTACTTAAAATCGTCGTTTTCAATCCTCTTAGTTAAAAAAAATTTCATGGCGCCTCCAAAATTAAAATTCTGGCTACGTCCCCGCATCCTACTATAATTGACATATAAATAATAAATGAATGGAGTTCAAGTCGAAACTGAATCGTGCCTAATCTATCGATTCTTGCATAATTTTTAATTGTTATCTAAAGATTAATGAAACTCGATAAAATGGTTAGTAAGAATCAACAAATAACAATTCTTTTACTAGATTTGAGGTGAGAGTTGATATTAGTAATTAATTTAACTGGAATTTCATTGTAATGTGAAGGTCTAATCACATTTTTACTTGTAAGTTGTGCATTATCTTCTCTATGATTTTTCAAGCACTAGTAAAAACAATCAATTTAACGTCTTTTTAAGTGGGACACTGTCATTACAAAGTCCATGTTTGAGCCCTTTTTTTTAAGAATATATGGGAACTCGAGAATTACAGAAAAACACGCGTGTAGGACAATGTTGTTTAGGTTAATTAAAAGTTTCTTTCAATATTGTCGCTTCCAAAACTTTCCTATCATTTTTATTTTTATAACTCATTTTTTTTTCCGAACTCATTTTCCATCACATCCTAACAAAATAATTTTACACGTACACTTTCTAACCACACTTCTCTCAAAAAATTTAGGGCATGTTGTCTTTATTATTTTCAGACCATTTTCATTTTTCAGTTTTCGAAAATATTAAAAATACATTTACTTACATATTTTCATAAACGAATTTCCAAAATCGAGTTTAAAATTTATAAAGAAAACGGAAAACGAAAAAAAAGTCATTTTGATTGTTTTCAATTAAAACCAAGCCAAACTTCATTTTTTTTATTTTTAAAAATAATTTTTCAAAATGACAAAATGAACGCGTTTTCAGCAATCTAAAAATGGACACTCAAAACACAAAACTCAAAATAAATTCAAAACTCAAAACTAAAAACTGAAATACAAAGAGAACAACCCCTTACTTTTTTTTGCAAAATCTATTACCATAAAAAATGAGACACAAACGGTGCAAAAGCATATACAAACAAACACAAGTGCAGAGGGAGAGAGAGAGAGAGAGAGAGCGCCAGGGGGTGGGGGTGGGGGTGGAGAGTATAACAGATTGTGGAGGAGTCCATTGATGCTTAATTATTGATAGATAGATATACAGAAAAATAGTAATGGAAGGACTCTTCAACAAGCAGGCAGCGATAAACTTGGATGCAAGGCCTACTTATCCAAAAGAGTGGTATTCCATGCTGGCAGAGCGCACCTTGAATTCTCTTGCTTGGGACGTCGGCACCGGCAATGGCCAAGTGGCTATCGGTGTAAGCCGTTCCTTTTTGTGTTGTGTTAAGGAAATCTAGTCAATTTTCAGATATGCGTGAAATCTTAAGACTTGAAAGTCCATTTGAAAAGAAACTTGATATATACTGGTTATTTATTTAGATTTATCAATTAATATGTCCCGCAAGATTACGCCTTTCGTACCGTGTCTAATCTTTTCCAAGCACATACAGTATTGTTTTCGAACCAAAGTTCAAGCGCAAGAAAGTCGCAGTGTATACTTTATTCAATACAAACTCTTCTTTTTTTTATATATATGTTCCGCTATGCTAATGAGAAATATTTCCGCATATATGCCCAAATCAATAAAAAAATATCAAAATTTGATAAATCAATCCGAACCGGATTTCTAATGGAATACCCTAGTACGTTAATAAATTTCACTTTAGCCCATGATCTAATTAGAGGAATAATTGGAACAACTGTATCGAACTTCTTAATAGCATTATTGATTAGAAATGAATTTTCTAGAATTTGATTCTGTACCACTGAAGCATTTAGTAATCTTATGATTTGAAGTCCATCTGAAAAGAAACTTGATATATGGTGGTTATTGATTTAGATTTATCAATTAACTAGGTGCAAGCAACGTGTAATGCACGTTTGCTTAGTTTATATTTAATATTTTTGTTTAATAATTAATTTGTTATTAATAAAGATGTAATTTTTTTTGGTTAATTAAGGGCGTGTCTGGGCCCGCTGCAAGGAGGAAGGAAAATTGATTATGTTACCTTTTTTTTTTCAAACCTACAGCCCTACAGTGGGAGAATTGGTCCAAAATTGCGGCTCCCAACTGCATGAATTGTGTTGCCAACTGCTTGATTTCTGCTGAAAAATAGAAACAGACACCCTATAAATAATTAATGAAGTAATGTTTATGTAATTGATAAATAATTAGATGTGTGATTTTGATATTGTTATGTAGGTTGGTGAGATTGAAGAAAACAAGCAAAAGTAGACAAATTTGGAGAAATTGCTAAATTGTAAGGAATCCAAAGTTCGGGGGCTAAAATGTAAATACTTAAAAGTTGTGCCGAA